TTGCGTTCTCCTAAAAATAAAATCATATGATTGGTTTTCCTTAAATAGGACTGAACATTATATTTCTATCTTAATTTAATTAATACAATTAATTGCGCTAGTTCTGTTACGTTACATAGCCTAAGTCAGACTATCGGTGGCGGATCAACCCGGTTTTGGCAGTAGTGAACTTTGTCGGCAGTGAGATTCTGGTAGATCGGTGGCGGTGAGCTAGGGAAAAAATTCCAGCGGCAGGCGTTCCAACGTCCAGGAAACCTGGGTGCAGCAGTGCTCCAATCCTATGGGAGTATTGTTTTCCAATCACAAATAAAAACACCTAGTTATAGAATTTTAAACATTAAAACTGATCATTTTATCCTATTTGAGTAAACCCCCTACTTTTAATCATTTTAAATTGTTCACTGTGATTCCAAATAAGTTGTGTGGTTATAATTGATCAGAGTTTCTCTCAAGTACACACTCCTAACAAGAAATGAGCACTAATATTAAATCCCTATTTTGGTAGCACAATTGAGTATAAAAGTATGCAATAGAGTATTATGATCTATGCATGATATATATGCTACAAATCAACTTATTCATTTAACTATGTTATCATTTTATTGTCATTAAATATAATTATTGTGTTGATTTTATAATTTAATACTATTACTTGTTTCATTTAAACTATATACTCATTAAATATAAACTAAAATACCTGGTTGTACCGTGCGCATGGTATAACTGTTTGTACCATATAATTTATGCTATTTATGTGTAGTCACTGCTTTATCTTTTTCAGGACCCTTTTGGTAATCCATATTTTCAGCTAATAAGTCATATCAACAGACTTTTTTTTACCAAACAAGTAATTTCTATTTCACGCGTTGAATTGTTTAATAATCAAAATAAGTAAGATTTAAGTTACTTTTCTGGATAGAGAAGTTTTTTGCTATTATCGTCTAAGTAAATTTTTCTTTAATCTATGAATAAAATACGGAGTTTATTTGAAATATAATTTATTCATAATTCACGAGATTCAATCAATTCAGTAGCTTCAGCCAGCATTTCATGAGAAAATTGCTATCAGATAAAATTGCTTCGGCCAGTATTTTTAATGTCAATACAATGAATGTAATTTACCCAATTACATTCAGATTGTCTAGTAAGTATGAAAATGTCGTACTCATTAAATTTTGTCATTTATGAGAAAATTGCTTCTCCAGTATAGTTCTTCACTAGAGTTTGCTAATATCTTATATCTACCATCCTCAATGTTTACCTTCGTAGCAATTTTGTTCCCTCATAAGAAATACGCTGTTTTATCACTAGTCGTTTTAAGAGAAAATTGTCCAAACTAAGACGTACTAAAACATACTACCTCCATCCCAAAAAACTTTGTCATTTCAAAAAAGTTGAACATTGATTTTGATTAGTATAATGTTATGGAAATTGTAAATTTTATACTTTTATGAAAGCACTTTTAACAAAGAACATTTTCATATATATATATATATTTTTTTTATTATAAATAATTTTCAATAAAAAGATATAGTCAATCAAAGTTTTGAAAATGACAAAGTTTTTTGGGACGAAGGTAGTATTCTCCTTAAATAGGACTGAACATTATATTTCTACCCTAATTTAATTAATACAATTAATTGCCCTAGTTCTGTTGCATAGCCTAAGTCAGACCATCGGTGGCGGATCAACCCGGTTTTGGCAGTAATGAACTTTGTTGGCAGTGAGATTCTGGGAGATCGGTGGCGGTGAGCTCGGCAAAAAAATCCAGTGGCAGGAGTTCCAACGTTCAGGCAACGTGGGTGCGGCAGTGTTCCAATCCTATGGGAGTATTGTTTTCCAATCACAAATAAAAACACCGAGTTATAGAATTTTAAACATCAAAACCGATCTTTTTATCCTATTTGAGTAAACTACCTACTTTTAATCATTTTAAATTGTTCACTATCATTCCAAATAAGTTGTGTGGTTATAATTGATCAGAGTTTCTCTCAAGTACACACTGCTACACACTGCTGACAAGAAATGATCATTAATATTAAATCCATGTTTTGGTAGCACAATTGATCAGTATAGAAGTGTGCAATAGAGTATTATGGTCTATACATGATATATATGCTACAAATCAATTTATTCATTTAACTACATTACCATTTTATTGTCACTAAAAATATTTATTGTGCTGATTTTATAATTTATTACTATTACTTGTTTCGTTTAAACTACATACTCATTAAATATAAACTAAAATACCCGGTTGTACGGTGCGCATGGTATAACCGGTTGTACCATATAATTTACGCTATTTATGTGTAGTCACCGCTATATTTTTTTAATTTCAGGACCCTTTTGGTAATCCATATTTTCAGCTAATAAGCATTATCAACAGTCTTTTTTTACCAAACAAGTATTACCTCTGTCCCAATGGACTTTGCACTCCTTAAGTTAGGTGAGAAATAAGAATAGTGAAAATTGTGTGGTTCAAGTTTGTGCAGAGGAGAGAGAAATGAGTAGAACCACAAAATAGTTATTAATGGGAAAGTGACAAAGTTTTTTGGGACAACCAAAAAAGTAAAGATGACAAAGTCCAGTGGGGCGAAGGGAGTAATTTCTATTTCACTCATTGAATCGTTTACTAATCAAAATAAGTAACATTTAAGTTACTTTTCTATTAGAGGTGTTTTTTTGCTATTATCGTCTAAGTAAAATTTTCTTTAATATATTAATAAAATACGGAGTTTATTTGAAATATAATTTATTCATAATTCACCAGATTCGATCAATTTTGTAGCTTCAGTCAGCATTTCATGACTTTTAGAAAATTCAGTCGATTCAGCCAATATTAGAATCACCAAATGTGACCTTAGTTGCGATGCTTTTTTAATATCAATATACAAATTTGGAAACTAATTTCAAATACTCCTCTTTATTTGAATACATGAAAGCATTACGTATGTGCTCCAAGTAAACGCATACGCATAGCATTACGTAAAATAACTACACACATTAATGAGCAATTACATTCGGATTCTATGGTTAGTATGAATACGTCGCACTCTTTAAATTTTGTGATTTACGAGAAAATTGCTTCTTTAATTTGAATAAATGAAAATTACGATTTAATGAGAATTACGTGCTCCAAGTATACGCATAGGCATACTATTTAATGAGCATTACGTCGTACTCATTAAATTTTGTGAATTATGAGAACACTGCTTCTTCAATTTGAATAAATGAAAATTACGATTTAATGAGAATTACGTGCTCCAAGTATACGCATAGGCATACGATTTAATGAGCATTACGTAAAATAAGTACGTATACGCATTAATATAATGAGCAATTACATTCGGATTTTCTAGTAAGTATGAAAATGCCGTACTCATTAAATTTTGTCATTTATGAGAAAATTGCTTCTTCGGTTCTTCACTAGAGTTTGCTAATATCATATATTTACCATCCTCAATGTTTACTGATAGATTATAAGTCTAGAGAGAAGTGAGAGCTAGAGAGAGAAGTGATTTGTATTAATGATTTTCCAACCCCTACAACTACTCCCGAGGGGAGTATTTATAGGGAAAATATGGGCTGGGCTCCCAAGTCTTAGGCTTGAGAGGCCCATTACAATATAAGGTCTCTATCGAGCTGATTACATTCGAATATATTAGCTAAGTATGGAAATCTTGCTCTGCGAACTCCCTGTGGCCGACGAACGTCTGGCTGACGGAGGACCCAGTGGGCGACAGCTGAGCTTCCTCTTAGTCTTCTGATTATGTGGGTCATGGGGTCTGGACTCATATACTCTATCAGGGGTCCCCCACTCTTTGAGCTGAGATGTAGACGAAGTGAAAGGGAGTAGATCCTTGTTGTCTTGTTCCTCGTTTCAAACTTAATGCTTTTCAAAATTGTTTAGACTACTATTATGCTTGTTTTTTTGGTCCATTAGACCATTACCTATGAACGAAGATAAGCTCATGGATCCTACAGAGCAATACAACGAGGTTAGTAAATTATTTCATCAATTATATCATGAGTTTCATGTACAATATGTTAATGCACCCCCTCCCCCGACACGAACATCTTCTTCATCTAAAGGAAAATCATTTTTGAAATCTACATTTGGCAATTTTATGAAAAAAGTAAATCAACTCCCATTGTTGCACAAAGCTCGATTAACGAGCTTTCTTTATATCTAACGTTTCTTGTTGACTATGAAGAAGAGGATGACTTTGACGTTCTGCAGTGGTGGAAGGACAAAGAAAAAACGTTCCCGGTTTTATCAAAGATGGCTAAGCAAGTGCTATCAATGACAGTATCAACAATGTGGCCGGCAACTTCCTAACGGATTATAGAACGAGATTGAGCGCAAAATCTTTTAAGACGCTTGTTTGCTTCCACGATTGGTTCATTTGGTTGACGGTCGAGCTTAGAACTCAAGAAGATAGCCTCACCCCCACCCGCCACTTCATGGAGGAAACAACAACCGACGCCCGACGGTGCCGCAGATTCCGACTGATTTTTAGGAAATGTATTTAATGTTTTTTATTTTTCTCAATTCTCAAGTGTAGTTCATATTTCAAATAAATATACTTTAACTTTTTATTGTCTAGCACTTGTATTAATTTTTAAACAAAATTAGTCACAAAAAAATAGTAGCCCAACCCAACCCGAGACCCAACCCGAGACCCAACCAGGTAGCCCGGCCCGACCCAGTCCTGGTCCCAAACTCAGCCGGTACAGGGCCTAATTTCCCAAACCCCAGTCCAGCCCAAACCCATCCCGGGGCTCGGCCCGACCCGAGCCCAGTCCATCCCTATTCCCTAGTGGAAGGTGTATTAGTGTATATTAGAGTTATGGTGGGCGGGAATCAAGAGCAATATAATTTTTCTAATTTTTTTAGAATAAACTTTTTTATATTTTATATTTAATTCATAAAGATGAAGATGATGGCCAATCCTAATTCATATCTCACATTAGAACATAAATTATTAGCGGTGCCTGCAGCAATATTTCATGAGATTCATGGTACACTTAATTATAGCCAAGTAGAATGGCTTCCCACCAGCATGTTTACACTATATATCAGAAATAAATCCTTCCATTTATCTCCAAACTTATACATTAGTATAATCCAACTGTACAGGAGAAGAATCTCGAGCAATTACTACCAATCAGGTGTGCATTAGAAGCTAGAAACAAAGACAAAAATTGCATCAAGTAAAGAATTTACAGAGTACAAATTTAACTTCTAATTTTCATGATTACTATCTTGAGCAGCATCTATCTTTATTATAAGCGGCTGGTTGAGATTTCCACAAGGAGTTGCCACAACAGGTAGTTGTGGTGATTCCAATAAGTCCTCCATGTCATCATTTTCAGCCAATGCTTTTTCTAGAGCTGCCTTCGCAACTCGTGTAACACATATTATTAAAATCACTGCAATATAAGTACATAAGTGTAATGTTTAGATTCTTTAGAAATAACACTGGGCATACCTAAACATCTTTTACTTGATTCGTCATATGAAAAACACAACAAAATGGTGTTTCCTCCCATCCATAGAGAACTAAACAATGGCTTTAGTTGTAAAAACATTTGCACTTACCAGACACCAGGAGGCCCAATACAATGAATGCCTGCACCAATACAATCAACCAGTTGTAAAAAGACTAGCCACAGCTTGAACTGAACATAATTGAGCTTTGTGTAGCAACAAAAACTAAAGCAAGTAATTATATTTATTACTTTATAGCCTAACATATGACCAAATGCACCCACCATTCCACTATCCAGCCAAGTTTTGACTAAAGGACTAATAGAAATAATCAAACAAAAATATCCTTTGTGTGACCTTTGTTATTTATCACCGATGCCCCTTTTTCAACTTCGCTCTTTTTCATTCTGACCCAAAATAATCTTCCGTTTTGTGAAGGTGAGAATTACGTGGTTGACATTGTTTATCTTCCTTCAAAACATATTTCAATCACACAATTTCAACTTTTTTTAAAAACCGAGCCTAGGTCAAAGAGGAGATAAAAAGGAATGGAGGGAGTATATTATTACTATCATGCCATTGTATTTTTGAAGTGAATAATCGTATCTATACTCCGAACAAAGATGTACTGAACCTCTTAAAACAAATATGTATCGCAATTAGTCATACCCAACGAGTTTTAGAAAATTCACCCCACTCATGCGTTACATCAGAGAGATCCTTCAGAGTTGTTCCAACATACACCAGTGCGAAAGTAATTGGCTGCAATAATAAGATGAAACGCATATCTAAGCAGTTAAGAATTTGAAAAACCTTTTACTTGCAGTCTATACATAAACCAGGACAATAAATTATTCGAAGTCACAGGCATGATAGCTTGATATGCAAGAACTTGTTTTCAGTTCCTGATCATATGTCGATTCATGTTAGCTGGCCCCATACTGTTTTGGGAATGAGGCTTGGATGTTGTTTTTGTTGACTTTTTGGTAGAGGATAAGGGGGTTCCTTAGAATCCCCCCCTCCCCCTCCAAGAATAACAACAACAAATAACCCTGTCCATGCCATGGCACCTTTTATTTCAATGCAAAGGGGGGTAGAAATGGTAGTCAGACAGAACTCCCCCTTGATATTTTGCATATGCAGAGATGCTCGTACTCTTGATTCTTGACTTTATAATACTTAAACGAATGATAAGTAGTATGCAACAGAAACTATTTAGACTTAACTATCTCTTTGATCATGTAATATACACATGATATTTTCAAATCTGGTCTTGCGAAATATTTTTTGCCCATTGGGTCCCTATACATAGTCTGATGTTCTCAAGTGTTATGGTGGCTGACGGAATGCGTCAACCGTCTCGGCACCTAGATAAGAAAATGGCTCCAGTTCGCTCTTCAATTAATTGAAGGTTCTGACACCCCCCCAATGGTAGAACAAGTTGATACTTGATACCCACCTAAATATGAAAATAAGTCAGGTTTGGCTCGTTGAACTATGCTATGTTAATTAATTGATGAGTAAACCCAATCCGTTTTCATTTCTTTGTGAGGCGTTAGTATGGCCATTCCATCAGTTACCTCAGCATTTAAAAGAAACAAACCAATGTTACATACCCAAACAATAAATGATATAACTAAACAGGGTTATTTTGCAATAAAATTTCAGGGACTAAAACCAAAACGAATGTATATTACTGAAAACCAAAATGACTGTAAATTTTATTTACAGAGTAGTAGAGTACAGCTTACTGTAAACTTATAACAATACTATAATAATAACAATAATAATTATAACTATAATAACAATTATAAATATTATCATCCTTACTACCATTTCTGTTATTATTATTATCATTATTATTTTATAGTATGTATGAGAGACTTTTTATCGTAGTTATTACTCCCTCCGTATTGTAATGTTTGCTACAATAGGCTTTGGCACAATGTTTAAGGGAAAAGTAGTAGGGGTAATGAATAGTGTAGAGAAAGTTGGAGAGTGTAGAAACGTATGAAAGAGAAGATAAAAAGTACAAAAAGTAAGGGTAACTGAGTATTTTTAAAGGAAAAGCTCACCAAAAATGGAAAGTGTAGCAAAAATTAAAATACATCCCAAAAAAGGAAAGTGTAGCAAACAAAAGAATACGGAGGGTGTATTCACTAACAGTTCCAAAGCAAATCAATTTAGAAAACAAATACATCCAAGAATTTCATTCCTACTGAATACAATTTTGATGTTGTTCTTTATTCTCCATGTGTTCCTTTCTCGAGGAGTTCAAATTACAGTATGATAGAGAGCGGGAAGAGCACGGGGCGGGACCGGGCTTGGGCCCACTTCCCTGGCCCGGGTTAGGGCTGTCATTAGAGTTTATTTAGTATTATTAAGTTAATGTTATGTTTTAACTTTGGGCCTATTATTAGTAAAGTATTTATAGAGTTATTATGGGCCTAATTAGGAGTTATTTATTTTGGGCTTAATTAGGGTCTCCCTGGAGTCAGTCATTAGTAGGTTATTTAAACCCCTTGTGGGAGTCATTCTTCAGCATCTTGGAATAAAATTGGTTTTAGCCTTTTGGCTCTGGGCAACGGTATTTTTATCGTTGATTATCTGGCAACGGTTTACCCCGTTGATTTTATTTTTCTGTTACACAACACAGTATTCTTATGTTACAAGAAAACAGTATATTTTTAAGCAAATAAATCAGGGGTCCATTTATTACTGATTATAATTTTCAGATTTGGGTGTATGACATCCATACATATCCCACGCCTATTATGATTATTAGGGTTCTCGAATCCATAAGAAAAGAGTATGTGCCTGACAGAGAGTCAGAGACAGCCTACCCCATATCTAGTATTCCACATTATTTCCACTCTCTTATAGTGGCCTATGATTTATTCAACAATGTTGTTCCCTATTCAGGGAAACTCCTTCCAAGCATTGGGACTCGAGGGAGACAATATCCCTTAGTCTCTTCAGAGAGAAAGTCTTGAACCACAAACAAAATCATGTTCACAGATTTCAAGCCTCATTTATGTAACAAAATAAGTCTCACCCAAGAAGGCAAGAAATATCAAAATCAGGTGAAAAGATTCAAAAACATCAACCAAGCCTTATTCCCGAAAGAATTTGGGTCAGATAACATGAATCGACATATGATTATCTTTTTTACTCTCTTAAAAAGATCTACTGAAAAATAAAAAAGAAATGAAGTATATGGCCAGAAAAATATATCAGCTCAAAAGGATGGTATTTGATACAACTTACTGGAAGATGGGTACTGGCCATGAAGCCCTTGAGAGTTTTTTGTTATGGAAATTCACCCAAAAAAATTGAGAAATGCATATATACAAGCACGGACAGAAAGAGGGGAGAGGTTACCATCATTCCCAGCCAAGAAGCTAGCACATATTCCACAAAGGGAACAGGGGTCACGGACAAGAGGTAGTTGAGCATGTTGAATGGAAGTAAAGGAACGAGGCGCAGCAGCAAAACAATCTAGGATTGAGACAATGAGGTTAGTTTGTCCACAACCTAATTTAATTCTTCCACTTCTTCGACCCTCAATGAAATGACAAGATAAAGCATGAATTATACATTAATATTACCCCATCACTAACCTTAAAGCCAGATCTTCGAATTGCAATTGCAACTGCACGGAACTGTGGATAGTCTTTCAACTTCGACGTAACAAATGACCTCCCAATCTGTCAAACCCATTATATATTCATTTCATTTTCATTTTCATTTACCCCATTGCCGCAAAGGCTCCCACCTACGGTGGGGTAAGGGGGGGTCGGATGTACGCAGCCTTACCCCTGTACTAAAGCACAGAGAGACTGTTTCCGAATGACCCATCGTGAAAATCCCGTCCAAAATTGCATGGACTGACTGCTGCTTCATAACAAAGAAGCGCAGACAGTTTAGTGAGTCATTTTGCTTTATTCCATCATAATCTCAAACCCATTATATATTCTGCTAAAAAACTAGTAGGTGCTGATATGATATGTTTCTCAACCAGAATAGTCAAGCACAGAAGAAACTATGGGTGGTTCAGAAGTCAGAACAATTATTTCTTGAATCACATAGAAAATATCACTTCTGCAAAATCATTACTCAAACGTGGGTCTGTGTAATACGAGCACCTCTACTAATTCAAGCTTTTCTAAAGGAAAAGTTACCGTTCTTCCAAGAAGGAAAGCTGCTGCAGCACCAATTGTTGCACCAATTGAATCGGCAATAAAACCGACAGGTAATCCAAACAGATATCCACCACCTAACTGAAAGATATTCCAGACAATGGTTTGACTTTAAATACGAGGACAAAGGTAATCCAAAGGGAAAAAACTCAGATACGGAGTAAGATTTAAGCAAAATACTACTTCTGCTAAGCTCTAAGAGTCAAGTCCATTGAATTAGCTTCTTTTGTAAAAGTTATTCTACTCTAAACCACTGGAATTTACCGTGAGTATTGAAGCGGGGACTGCCAAAACTGTTAAAGGAATGTATGCAACAGCCCTACAAGTCCAAGATGCACAAAAACACAACTAAATTCATAAGAAAATACAGCAATCCACTACATAAAGGAATATACAAAACATTGCAGATTAATGTCAGACTTACAAGACAAGAGGACCCCAAGGACCGAGTTCGTCTTTAACCCATGTCAAGAAGTCTTTCAAAATCTGCAAAAGGTAGATGTTCTAAGCATTTGTACTATCATGTCTCCAACTTTTGTCAACTTCAATGTTCTCGAACAATTGGAAATTCTCAGTATTTCATGAAGACTGTAGAGCACATTGTTTCTCCTCAAGAAAAAATGAACCCATCAAGTAAACAAAAACTCCGAAAGACACAATGTGAGGAAAATGTACAAATCCCAAAGGCAAAAAGGAAATAAATCAAGGATACAAAAGGAAATAAATCCCCAGTTAAAAGTCAATATTACTGTCAGCTAGTAAGCAAAAGCTTTCAATCGTTTCATTTTTAGGAAAATAATCTTAACCAGACAATGTATGGTCTTTCAGATTACAGTGAACAATGTTCCAAATTAACAGCCCACTACGGAAGTGTTAAGGAAAAACTTTTAGCAGGACAAATGGGATCCAATAGACTATTAAGAACAGTAAATATCCTAATCACTAAGAAAATGACCCAACCCACAACGATTAATAGCGAAACGAGAAAGCACTCAGAATCAAAGAGAACGCCAAAATGAGAATTCAATCCAGACCTTTTCAACAGGAAGAGTGAGGAAAGCTGTGGTAATGGCGGCAATAAGTAGGAGCAGAAGGGTAATTTTGAAAAGGGAGACCCTGTTGAAAGCCATCGAGACCTTCTTACGCCAAGGCCTGCACTCCACTTCGACGTCTTGGACCTCTCTACTGGCTTGTTTAGAACACAACCGTGGCCTCAAATTCACTCCTTCCCCTAAATTTGCCAGATTTTCAATCTCGGGAACGCAGAATAAGAACTAAAAACAAAATCCAATAATCAAAATGAAGAAATGTTAAAGATCGGAACCCATTTAGCGATAAAATGAAATTCTTTGTTTCCTACGTCAAAGCAGCAGACGCAACACCAACAGTACAAACGATTCTCCTTCTTCTCGGGGAAACACGAAGAATTTGGGTGTTTGATTGTGTGCAGTACTACAAGACAGTTTTCTTACGGTTAGGGGTTCTCTTGCTGTGAAAGAGGTGGTAGCTGAGCTATGGATGGCAGTGTTTGGGTATGTCAACACACCAGATACTCCGCGTAAACAATTGGCCGAAGGTTAAAAGAACTCCAGGAGCTTTTAGTTCGGTATTACAACTGCTCGTTTGTATTTTGAAAGAGAAAATGCGAAATGGAGGAAAAGTAAATTTAGAGCCCGTTTGGCAGCACGAAAATCGGCTCTTTTGGCTGATTCTGCTGAAATTTATGAAGTTCTGGCTGAATTGGCTGCATTGGCTGATTCTGCTGATACAAGAAAAAAATATTTTTAAAATATATTTTATTAATAAAATAAAGAAAACATTATATGTAAAAATAGCTAAAATGGTCATCTACAGTAACTTCAGCCAATACAGCCAGAAAAGTAACTTCAACCTTACTTTTTCGGCTTATTACACAATTCAGCGCGCGAAAGCAAAATTTACGTGTTTGGTAAAAAAGTTGGCTGATAAGCCTGATAAGCTGAAAATGAGGATTGCCAAACGGCCTCTTAGGATACAACAATACAACAATGTTGAGAGATAGCATGTGAGATGGACATCTATATTTTGTGTTAATTTTTTTTAACAACGTCAACCACTAATCCACTACTATATGATATTGTAAAGAAAAATATTTTATTTACTAATATTATGTGTTTATCTCTTTTATATGCATTGTAGCGTTGAAGATACTTCTAGATGTACCCTTAGTAAGAAGAATAAGAGTCAATTGATTATTCTTGTATTTAATTTATCCGGCTTATCAGTAAACTCTTAAATTAAAGAAGACACTTTAAATTCCGCACACTAAATCGGGTTATAATCATTTTTATTATTTTTTATATTTATGTTTGATTTTATTACTATATGACTAAATATGAAAAATTGTCAAAGTTTAAAGGGACGGATGAAGTATACTATGTACGTAGTACGGTGTATTTTTTATTAATGAAATGATATAGAGTTATATGGAAAATGACAAAAAGTTTCATGTGTAGCAAATTCGATCAATGCACTTGGAAAAGTAATTTTGAACTTGTTTATTTTGATTATTACAAAATTTAGCATTCAAAATTTAATGTTAAATGTATGATAATAAAAGAATCCAAAAATAGTTGTGGAATATAGTGTATGGGTATATCTTAGTACTCCCTAGTATAATTTGAATATTTCTATTTTTATGGAATGATAAAAGTACAACAATTATCCTAAAATACATATCATTTTCTGTCCTTTCAATATAAACTCATTTTTCTTTTTAATGCAAATGATTTATGGTTTCTCTCCTTCATACAATTTTTAATACACAATTTCTACTTTTCTAATTCACGTACTTTTCGAGTTTTATCAACTTTATTGTCTCATTTTATTTTTTGGAAAGAATATATTCTAAATGTAACTATAATTTAATAAAGTATATAGTATTGCTATAGTATAAAAATCACTTACCTTTTCTAAAGTATATAATAATTCTCTTAAACTACGTGAAAATTGAAATCGGACAATTATTTTGATAAGGAGGGAGTATTATGACTAACACTAAAGAAAGGAGAAGTATACCTCGTTTAAAAATATTATGAGGCCACGGTATGCATTCCCTCGTATGGGTGCGTTGATGCTCATATTAAGAGCTCATTTCATAACCCTTATTTTCAACTTATGAGTCTATTCAACTAACTTTTATCTGATATTATGTAACTTTTGAATTCGCTCATTGAAACCATGTTATAGTTAAAAAAAGTATGGATGAAATTATATTTCTGATTGAATTGACTGAAGTCAATGTGGAATACCATTTTAATTATTTTTCATGTAATTTTTTCTTTAATCATTAATTAAATATACTTTAAATATAAATTTTCCATAATTCAGCAGATTCAGACTTTCAGTCGCTTCAGCAACATTTCATATTGTAGTGAATTCAACTAATTCAATCAATTTTAATGATACCAAACATGGTCCAAATATATTTGAAATGTGTTTTGTATATGGTTCATCAAACTTTGTTGGTTCTTTATACTTGTAGGCATTGTAATATAAGAGTTTAAAGGGAAAGTCAAATTTAGTTACAAAAACTTTTTTTTGAACAAATTAGAATTTCAAACATAAATACTTTAGTTTAAAATTAAATATAATAGGAATACTGATAGTAACTTTTTTCTTTTGAAAATTAAACAACTAATTTATGTGAATGAATATTAAAGTCTACAATGGGATGAGACATAGAATAGAAAAGATCGTGTGAATCTTTCAAATCGCTAATCCCGCAATAATGTAGTCTAGCCTAACAGTCTTGCTACATTTGCTACTTCAAAGAAAAATACAAATTATCAATAAAAGATCCGACCTCACCGGTCATCGAAAAGATAGAATTGATTTGACCAGCAACCAACGAAGGAATCTCTACTATCATAAATTGTCTAAATTATCACTTTGACCAACTATTGAAAAGGAGATATAGTTTAGCACTTTCTTTTTCCTGAGCATGATGATGGTTCAAGAGGATGACAAATAATTGAAGCCTCAGACAAGCAGGGTTGAATCAACTTTGCAAACCATGACCAACAAAGATTCACAACTCGATCGGTTACACCGACGAAAAACACACAAGTTCTAAACATCGCAAGGAGAAGAACATATCTCACTCTCGCTTGAAGCAGACAAAACTATCGGCCAAAGAAAAAATCGGACCAAAAAACTTGAAGGTAAAAATAAAAAAAGAGCATAAACATAGAAAAACTTTAAATTATTTATTTCATTGCCCGAAGAACTTCGTTATACCAATAGTCAACAAAAAGCATTTTATTGAAATTGTAAATTTGTGCATATAAAAGTTTGAAAGAATGAACTCTTTATTTCATTCAAACCAATACTTCTCATTTAATACTGCTAATGATAGTCATTGTCATTAATCTAAGTTCAACCAATCAAAATATATTTTAATTATTATGACATAATAAACTTAATTCACTTGTTTTACTCTTCAAAGAAAAAAACTAGATGTACACAACTCTTCAGGTACACTCTCTTGTTTTACCAGTATATACAATCAACTTCTTTAAAAAAGTCAGCAATTATTTGTGCACACGAGAGTATACAAAAAGTATACTCATGCACTATACTTTTGTATAAATCGAGAATACCTCCTCTTCTAAAAGTTAAGCTAGAGGTACAAAAACTCTTATAAAAGTTTTACAAAAGAAGTATGTGACATCATCACATTATTTAACACATCATATCACATTTACAACGCTTTTACATCAATGGTGGTTAGAATAGTCACTTCACTTGTTTGTAAATTTTTTTGTAAGTGTGTTTGTGCTTTTAGCATTTCACTATACTATACTTTGTTATCTTTTTTATATGTAATTGATATTTAAAAACTTTGCTACCTTTCCATTAAATTAAATAACAAATTTATGATTAATATTGCTTCTCCATTCCGCTTAATTAAAAGACTTGAATTAAGCAATTGTTTCTCTGTCTCATTTCAAGTTGCAATCAAATTTGACAAAGTTACAAAGAAGAGAATATGAATTAACTAATAGAGAGTCAACTCAATAGAATAGATCATAGAAACCAGCCATAGAAGTATAGTAGTATATACGTCCCCAGATGATGTCCCTACAGAGTAACAAACATGAACTATGCTAGGACATTCTTCTAAGCACAAAAACAGTGGTGAAGAAGACATTTTAATACCCCTACTCGACACTCTGTGTTGCACACAAGCGCGGGAAATAAGGAGAAGCGTGAAACGGGAAACATCGATTTCAATAAAAGAACAAGTGTTTAAAGAGTTTCAGAATCATTTTCCTAGAATTTTCGAAATAAAGAATACTTCTTCCTCAGATATCTGTGCATCATTCCTTTGTATTTGTTCACTTTACACAGTTTCTGCCAAATCTCATCAGCCAAATACGCGCAATTAGACAATGGCAATAATAAGTCAACAAAGAGTAATAGACAATGCCAGCTTTCCTTTCCATTCAAAAATGAAGACAAAAGGCCAGCTATATTCAATCAGATCAACCGTCCTATTAACAAAGCCTAGAGCTCATGTTATTATGCACAGAGGGAGTTGAGGAGTACGTGGCAGAGCATCAGATCTACAAAGTATTGGTGCCCGATCTGCCCGTCCCGCCACCGGAAATTCTGCGGGGCACGGCCGTAGTGCACACCGTCGTTGCACCGGTTGTCGTAGTGCCACGCATACGTCATGTCAAAATCATCTATTACTCCCTTCAACAAGCCCTTCGCCTGCAACTTATCCAGCACCACCCCATTGAACGCCTCCATTTTATGAGGATTAAACGCCAGCCGTCTCGCGTATCCGCCGGTCGTTATCGTCGTTCGGTATATTATATCCGGCGGAACCAATCCTCTCCTCTTCACCCCTTCCAGTACCTCACTCCAAAACTCACATGCATAACTAGCACCATGGATGAAGGACCTCAGATTCCGCCAGTACACCCCGTCGTGTAAACCCGAATTCATGATTATCGTGTCCGGAACCACATTTCCGGCAAAATAACCCTTTAAAAGTTCCCTGTAATCCGAATTTGATAATGAATTTAACCCGAGGTAATTCGCGGTTTCGTTGTGGTGGCCGTTGAAAATGCTCGTAAATCGGACCGTTTGAGATGGATTTTTAGGGTTAGTTATGTTCATGTCGTACCTTCTTGGGATGGATTTCACGTCAAACCCTAGAATGAAGTTCAGCATGTTTCGGATGGTATCAACATGATTCGAATCGCCCCACCAGAAGATCCATCTGTTGCTAAGACAATTCCACGCATCTTGGCCCGAATACAATTTGAACGAACAATGGGTCGAATAAACCCACCCGTTGCTCTCCAAAGAGCCTAGCGGGCCATCGCACCACGGTTTTTGGCATGGAAAGTTCGGGTCTTGGCATCTGAACCGTCCGCTGTGGCTAATCGGACAGCTGTCATTCTTGGCGTGCCGGGTCCACCGCCCGGACCAAACAACCCGGGTTCCGAAATCGGATTTACCGCACCGTGGTAATTCGGGTAACTCCGCCGCGGGTTTATCGGTTTTGAACTTGACCGGGATTACCCGGAGGACCTTATCGATTGCGAATC